TTGTCAAGTTGTGGAAAGATAGAGTCACCGCAGTAAATCATGATGGGGAAATACTGAGGGTAAAGAGGTGCTAGTTTGACTTTTTTTTTTTTTTTCATTAATAAGAAAAACATGCCCTGCGATTCAACTCAATGACTTTGGTGTAAATGTGTACCATATTCAAAATATGTTGCTGTTTCTATGCCAGCAGCTAGTTCCAGCTTCCACCCATCTACTCAGTGTTTCCTCTTTTAACAGCCACAGTTTATTTACCTGGTTATTTGCTCAAACCTCTTCTTTTCGACCTGTGTTTAACAGGAAGCTAAACGTGATTTTTACTGCTGGAAAGATTCCAGTTCTTAAAAGGAGGTCACCTGTGTAAGATTAGCCCTGCAGTTATTTTCAAAACTAGAGAGAAAACCGAGAAACCATGAAAAAAGACAAAAGCATTCACCCTCCTTAGACTGGCGCTGGATTTTCCACTGTTATATAATAAAGCTACTTTTCTTTCAAATCCAGAGGAATTTCAGTATCAGGTTTTCCCTGTCACCGTTGAGAAAGCAATGACCTGGACATATTGTTTCGGAGACTTCCTCTTGGCCGTCATCTGAGGCAGGCGAGCTAAAAAAAATCAGCCTCTTGTCAAAAGCAATTGAATCCAGTGGAAAGGGAGGGAAGTGAAGTTCCATTCATAAACTTGCACTCTGCACACCCGACTGAGCAGCAGTGTCTCTCTGCCCAGGGGGAGTTTTAAGACGATTGAAAGTCAGTGATGTCACCGTGTACTGACCCACCAGAAGTACACGTGTATGTCACTAAAGCGTGATGGGGAGTTAAACCACTAGAGGTCAGCAAAAACAAAATTATTCAGGGGATTTTGTTGGATGATGTTTTTGTATATGAACAACTGACTACACCCTCTGCTGATGCCAGTCGTTAGAATAACCCCAACACTTTAATAATAAACGATAATCGATGGATGGATGAAAATATGAAGCTGATACACCCACCTGAAGATTCGGTGGTTTCTTGACTGCACTTGTAAAACCATTGTTCTTTATGTCACTGGAACTACACAGTTATTCTGTGTGTGTCTCCTACACCATTATTCTTCATCCTGTTGTCCTGTGTCTCTCTCAGGGTACAACCCCCTCTCTGGAGATGGAGGAGGCTCCTGCTCCTGGAGACCTGGCCGGAGAGGGCCGTCATCTGGTGGATGAGGTTAAAGACTGTCAGAGACGTAGGTCTGCGTGACCTTTGACCTCTGACATTCTTGATGTGCACACAGGCTGATTTAACCAAGCTGACAACATTATTAATCCCACGCTTACATTAAGATATTTTGCTCAGTTAGCGTTATTTTAACAGAACCACGCCTTCTGTCCTGTCTGATTTTCCCCTGTTTGATTCTCATCACTGTTATTTACTCTCTGATCTCTGTCTTGCTGTATTGTTGAGCATCAAAGATAACACGATAATCTTGGATCATAACTTTTAAAGCTCAAATGAATCATGGCGTTGAAAGCTTGTAATGAAGCCAATCCTGTAAATGGTTTTTAACCACCTGGTTTGGCTGAAGATTTTCACAGTCTGTGTGCGGCCTGATGTATCTGAATAAGTGTGTAACAACGTTACTTTACAGTTTCTACTACTACAGCAGCTGTAGCTGGTGGGCACGGTTAATTATTAGCAACATCAGATTCCGATTATATAGTTACAAACATTTTGGTAAATGTAAGGAAGTTACGTCTATCATGTCACACATTTTTCTGCAATAAAAGTATGTCCACAAAGAGTGAGTGTGTCCACCTGAGATTCTCTGAGGACCTGAGGGTGGTATGAGGGTGTAACATGCTGGGACGGGTGGGGCTTTTTAAACTCTTTGTGAGCTTTAGTTAAAGTTAATTTATCCAGGAAGCTGAGCTGAGGCTAAGATCTGTGAACAAATAACATCAAAGTGTGCAACTGCCTCAGGGCTCCAGATTGTCAGGGGCACACAGGCCCCGTGTTTATGATGGTTTACAGGAGCCCTTTGGGCTTGTGAACAAGTTACAGTTCACATCGTCTGGTTCCTTCAGATCTGATCAACATGTGGAAAGCTTTTTCCTTTCTCATAAAACATTTGCAAAGCAGATTTTTCTGAGATTTGGGAGACATTTTTGACATTAACGATTACAAGTTAACAGTAACTGTGTGTGCATGTGCGTGTGTGTGTACTTGCACAGATATCTTTGTGAGGACCACGATGAGCCTACACCTTACAGACTGAGGACATTTTTGGTCCTCACTTTCTGACCCACTTCCAATGGACTGTTTGAGAGTGAAGACTTTGTTTTAGGGTTACAGTTATAATTGGGTGAGGGCTAAGCATTAAATTATGACATCTTAGACTTCTCCCCACAAATTCAAAGGCTTGTTTGAAGGTTAAGACTTGGTTTTAGGGTTGGAATTATAGTTAGGGTTTGGCATTTAGTTGTGATGGTTAAGTTTAGGATAAGGATAAGGGACTAGTGAATGCATGGTGCCAATGAGTGCCCTCATCAGGGTGTGTGTGCATGCATGCGTGTGTGTGTTGAACACTGAAACCATTGACAAGAGGCACACAAACATACCAAAGGGGTAGACATATATAAGAAATTCTCCACAGTCCTATATTCCACAGAGTAACTTCAAATACCTGATATTTTGTGTCTAAACCTGCAACATTTACTGAAATGATAAAGGCCTCGAGTCTATCTTGAAGGGGGCTATGATTAGTAATAAAAGCTCATTTTAAGATCCTCATTATTTCCCAGCAGGCCTAAAAGGCAGTATTTCAGTGGAGGAGTACTGACTGCTCTGTGTGGCTCGAGGCAAAAAGCTCCAGTTTCATTGTGTCAGATAGTTTGTGATAGTTAAATTAAGTGCAGGTTTGTTTCTGAATCTGGCACACTGAAGCACAATGTGAAGTGAAATGACCGAGTTAAGACTGGTTGTGTAATCTGGGGGCTCAGGTTTTCCAGGACATGAGTGCAGCTTTTTCTCTGTGGCTCAAAGCTAAATAAAATAAAGATGTCGTGTGTTCTACTGAGTGCACTACACTGGATGCACAAAGAGCTGGAGACATATTGTACCCATCACAACTATCACAGATCTTATTAATGGTGGCAGCCTCTTGGATGAATGAGTGTCTCTAGCTTCAGCTGTCTTACAGTTCATTCCAGTGGTGAGGCTCATGTTACTGGAGGCCAGTCTAGTTAACACACGCTGTGATCCACTCAACTAAGGACCTTTAATATTATAGCAATTTAAATGGCAAGGCCTTTATGAATGAGATCTCAGATTGTCAGAGATGAATGGAACAGTGGTTTTAATAGACTTATTATTTCTTTCTTGCTAAATGAACATGTTTGTAAATGGATCATTTTTAAGATCCTCTTTAGTTTCATCAGATAAAACCTCAAACCAATCCCAAGAAAAGTGTCTATCCGTCTCTCGCTGATTTCCCTGTCAGTGTCTTTCTGTAAACAGACCTTTTATGAAATGATATTACAAAACATAAACAAAGGCTTTGAAAGATTGAAACTCTCAGTTTGAAAGCATTAAATCCAATAAAAAGTTTTTTGAAGCTACGTGTTGAAGCCTCGCATAATGTTTTCTCTGCAGGCATATCTTTGTATTTAAGTTTTCCCTCTTCAAAACTGCAGCTCTCTTTTTTACGGTGTTTCTCCAACACTACAAAATTTGCAAGGTTTCAAAGCTGGAAAACAAACTGATGAACTGGGAGGACCGTGACATAAAACACTGGACAC